AGCTCTAGGCGGTTCAAACGTTTTTCTGAGCCGCGACTTGAAGACTTCTAACGACCCAAACGCACATGGGTCGTGCAACTTGAGTCCCAAAGCCCAAGTCTTGGCACGTCCTGCCAGATTTGACTGGGCAAATGCAACTTGCATATCCCCGTCGTCGATGCGACGCGCCCTTATGGCGTCATCCAATTCGACGAACCATCTCAATAGGGAGCCCTCTTCGACTCCCCTGTACTTGGAGATGTCACACTTCAAGGTCTCGGGTCGACGCGAGTGCATCGACCCACCAGCAGCAGCCTGCTGCTGTCTCAACAGTTCAAACTGTTGAGCACCCTGTTCTCTCAACAACTCTGCTTGTTGAGAGCCTTGTTGGTGAAGCAAGGCTACTTTCTCGCGTTCAGCGTCAAGTTCATTTTGAATGAACTTGGCGATAGTAGCATGTTGGGCATCTCTATTGAGAGCCTCTAGCATGACGCTAACAGCATGGATGCCCATGGTCGAACCCATTCGTTCAACCGCATCCCATTCGACATCGCTCAAATGGGAGTAGCCGTCACGCGTAGCGTGAAAGCTTTGGTCATCTTCATCATCCAGCATATTCATATTAGATGTGAACGTGGTCCTTGGACGGACTACGAAGTGCTACCAGGTGTAACGGGGCACCCTGAAGCTTGTACTGGTGACAGTACAAGCTACTTATTCTGATGACAGAATAAGGCGGTGCCTCGTAACTTCACGTACACTCGTACGTGCAGAGGAAGACGGTAAGAAGAAGCGAGTACTTGGTTAAAGTAAAAAGTAGAACTGTACTTATCATAGTTAATGTCTGCAATAAATCACTATTTATCCTCATCTAACTATGTCTGAATACAAATGTGCATATCAACTATCTGCTCACCACTCATTGCGTGCGTCTGTCGTGGCGCGTCTTCGTTGGTTGATATAATGGCCTACATCAACCAATTAGGAACTACTCGTAAGTGCTGCAGAATGTTTGTCCTTATGACAATATTCTGAGAATACAACTCTTATAGTTATATTCTAATAGCAATTTCTCATAAATTGTTATGTAACGATTCACCCCGTTACATAAACTGAGTACTCACTTCTTCATACCGTCTTCCTCTGCACGTACGAGTGTACGTGAAGTTCCTAGGCACCGCCTTATTCCGTCATCAGAATAAGTAGCTTGTACTGTCACCAGTACAAGATTCAGGGTGCCCCGTTACAACGACAACTGTAAAAGGTTTTAGAGTAACACCACGAGTACCCCTGAGATGAAAAATACATTTGACAGATCTCGATCTTTTTATATGAAGTTTTCACAGCATCCGAATACCGTTGATGGCGATAACGATAGACACGATTTCACGAAGAAGTAATTGCGTCAAGAATTGTACGAAATATGCAAATTGACGATGAAGCACGCAAAAACACGCGCTCGTCAGTTGGTGCACCTATTGGGGGCTTCACTAAGCGTATGCATGCATTGATTGAGACAAGCCTTAATACTAGCAACGGGGAATGCAAGACATGCAGTGAAGGTGTCTCCAGCACAGTACTACCTGTGCGTGACTTTATTGGCACAGACGTCTCACCGCAGCAGCACTCAAGTAGGCGATACACTCTTGAACACGACGTCATCGAAATCATCGTTGATCGCATGTTTTCGTCAGGGCTCGCTGAAAGCACACTGGATTTCGTCACGCGAGTTGTATCCTCTCATTCTTATCATGAGTGGCCACGGAACAAATAACCGTGGAACGTCGACACTTTTTTACAGTCTTCTCGTGCGTAGGTAGGCAACCAGACAACCGCAGTTTTGTAATCAGTAGAATTTGAATGTCCGTCGGCAGCAGCTCAGTCCATAGACATTTCGTGGTGGTGCTTTTCTGATAAGGCGCAGAAACTAACATACCTCGCCACGAGTTTATTTTACCTGAAAGATAGTCTTTGTGATAGTGGCGTTGACCAAGAACGGGGTGTACGCTACCAACCCGACGTACATGTGTCCCAGAACGGGGATTGAAAGACACGTTTACAGGTGATTACTCGAGAAGGTGTGCAATACAGGTCGTTACATGAACCGGAGCGGTTCGACTCGTCCATAGCCTTTTGCTCCAAGCAAAACAGACGAGCTTTGAGTAATGCGTGTGAAAGTGATTGAGCTAGCCTCCACCGCAACGATTTTTCTTCGTATATGAAGCGCCCGATGGGTGCATTCATCGGTGAGTGTTTGCGTCTATTTCAAAACCTCCATCTGTTCTGAATCGCCACTCGTGTGGAGTTTGTACAAATGTATCAACAATGTCTTCCTGCCGGGTCGATCTGTCGGTTCAAATGCCACATTATGTCCCCAAGGTGCGGCTGCTGAGCCATGAATTGCAAAAGGATCGCTCACGCACACATCATTCCTCTATTCTGGCAGACCTGCAGCTCTTGCCCAAGAGCGTAGTTTTGTCGTTCTCCGCCACGATCGAACCCTTCGATTGGTTCGCCGAACCGTCTTCGTATCTGCTAATGTCGTGTTCATGATCATCGTATGAATAATCGCACGCAGCGCCTCACAACTATTTTGCTGCTGTCGATTCTATAATGATGTTTAAGCTTGGATATTGTTGTGAAGCCAATGAAGCGGCGCGAGCTGCGATCAATGGCAAGTGCCACTTAAGTGAGCCAATCCCGTGTTTAACGTGTACACTTGTTGCCACCTTCTCAGCCTAACTGTCGTAGCTCCTGTTCTGTTTCCGCAGCCGCAGAACAAGCAACCCAAGCATTCGTCCTGGAAGCGTACACGTCCTGTATTACCCCTGTTTGGATCTGAGGACGTACAAATGCAGCGTACGGATAAAGAATACATGCATTGAGTAGATAGTCCGCCACACACAAGCAAGCGAAAGTACAGATGCTAGCACCTTGTCGAGAAAGTAATGATGAATTTAACGTACTTGCCAGGGAAATTCAAGCTACAAAAGAACTACTTCGTCGCCTTGAAGTTCTCATTAGCCAAAGGATCCTACAATGGTCCCTGCGTGGGGCTGTCGGCGTCCTTACCGATGGGAAGGGTGTCGTCCAACACCGCCAATTCCGAATTTTTGTCAGGGTCCGTCGTTTCGACATCATTAGCCCCGCCGAGTAAGCCATTCGAGCCATCGTCGAAAAGGTTGACAAGTAGGGTTTCTTCGCCACCCGACTTGGTTGCCTTAGACGCCTTCGTTGCTTTGTCCCCACCCTTTGTTGCGACTAGGTCCACATTCTCGTCCTCGTCTTCATCCTCATCCTCCTCATCCTCCTCAATTGGATTTCCCTTGGTGGCAACCTCCTTCGCACCGCCCAGTAGGCCGTTCGATCCATCGTCGAAGAGATCGACAAGTGGGGCCTCTTTACCGCCTGACTTGGTTGCCTTAGACGCCTTCGTCGCCATCACATCGGTAGGTTCCTCGCTCTCCTCAAGTGGATCTCCCTTGGTGGCAACACCCTTCGCACCGTAAGGGTCCACTTCATCATCCTCGTCCTCCTCAATTGGATCTCCCTTGGTGGCAACACCCTTCGCACCATAAGGGTCCACTTCATCATCCTCGTCCTCCTCAATTGGATCTCCCTTGGTGGCAACACCCTTCGCACCATAAGGGTCCACTTCATCATCCTCGTCCTCCTCGATTGGATCTCCCTTGGTGGCAACATCCTTCGCGCCGCCTAGTAGGCCGTTCGATCCATCGTCGAAAAGATCGACAAGTGGGGTTTCTTCGCCACCCGACTTGGTTGCCTTAGACGCCTTCGTTGCTTTGTCCCCACCCTTTGTTGCGACTAGGTCCACATTCTCGTCCTCGTCTTCATCCTCATCCTCCTCATCCTCCTCAATTGGATTTCCCTTGGTGGCAACCTCCTTCGCACCGCCCAGTAGGCCGTTCGATCCATCGTCGAAGAGATCGACAAGTGGGGCTTCTTTACCACCCGACTTGGTTGCCTTAGACGCCTTCGTCGCCATCACATCGGTAGGTTCCTCGCTCTCCTCAAGTGGATCTCCCTTGGTGGCAACACCCTTCGCACCGTAAGGGTCCACTTCATCATCCTCGTCCTCCTCAATTGGATCTCCCTTGGTGGCAACATCCTTCGCGCCGCCTAGTAGGCCGTTCGATCCATCGTCGAAGAGATCGACAAGTGGGGCTTCTTTACCGCCTGACTTGGTTGCCTTAGACGCCTTCGTCGCCATCACATCGGTAGGTTCCTCGCTCTCCTCAAGTGGATCTCCCTTGGTGGCAACATCCTTCGCACCATGAGGGTCCTCGCTTTTTGAAGCATCGGCAAAGAGCCACGACAGATCACCACTGCTACCTGCACCTTTCTTGATTCCATCGAATAAATCCTCGAGGTTAGGCGGGGCACCATCGACGTGGTCCCCGCTTCCGGACGTATCAGGGAAGAACAACGACAGGTCATCCTTGCCGTCTCCCGCACCCTTTCCAAAGATAGAACTGCTCTTAGCACCATCCTTGCCATCAGGATCATCTTCCTCGTAGAGCCACGAGAGGTCACCAAGGCCTGACGCCGACGAGTCTTTGATAGCATCAATGATGTCCTTCAGGTCCACTTGGTTGCTTCCAGTGCCAATGAGGTCCAAGATGTTAATCTTCATATCGTCGCCAGCAGAGCCCTTGCCATCCACGAGGTCACTGACATCCGCCGTCAGATCATCTTCATCATCTTTGAGTTCTTCATTTGCCTTGGCGCCCACAGGGCTCGTCAACTTGCCCTTGCTCGTGCTCGTAGCTTCTTCCTCCTCCGTTGAACGAAGGTTCTGCATTTGGTCAGCGCGAGCGGCAGTCACAGCGAGAGCAGCCACGACTAGTCCGGCGACGAGCTTCATACTTGGTTTGGAATCGAGAGGATGTTCGCTTGTGCTGAAGAAGGTAAATTAAGGAATGAAGAGAAAAGAGGAGAATGACCGGTAGAGTACCGTTGACGTTGACCCCTCGCCGCGATTTTCTATCCGGACTGGGTCCCATCCTAAGAACACCACCTCGTTTAAGTATGCATCATACAATTTCGACATGTGCTCGAAAATCGCGATGCGGCGACCGAGCGACACATTGTTGCAAAGGGGCTTTTCTATGTCGAGTAAAAGCTATGTAACGAAGAGAAGCATAAGGACGTGAAAAGGATCATGACGACAGCTTTTCACTTACTCACGCTAAATGCTACCCGGTTTTGGGATCACAAATCGCTCTCGAACAAAAAGTGGAAGGACAGTGCAAGCGCATACATGGCCAATGGACGCAAAAGCGTCGAATCAAATGCGAATGTTTGCTGCGTGCGGTCGTTACCGCGTTAAAGACGAGTCACAACCACATGAGGTAAGACACGGTGGAGGGTTCTTTACGCGTGCCACGTGTGTAATCTTGAGCTGTTCGACGATCTCCACGAGGTCATTGTTGTCGATGCACCATTTCTAATGCACTCGTATGTTTATCATGAAGAATCTTGAGGAAGATACGTGGCCACCGATCAGCGTTGTGCTTGCAGCGTCTGGTCCGCTCGAGGCTTTTATCAACGACTCTGTCGCTCGAGGTTTACGCCACCACTAAAGGAAGACTGGCTATCTCGTCAGTCGTTTCCAAGCCTTTCTCTCAATCTCTCGACTGTTTTTGCTCACGAACACACACCATTCAATGCGTCGTTCCATCTCAAACGAGCGTCGAGAAGTGGAAAGTCAGCGTTTGTTGTCTTCTCGCGTCGTTGACTCGTACTCGATCTCTACCGCAGCTTCGCTTTCGTCAAAAGTTTGAATTCGTCACCGTTGATCGAGCTAGCGCAGGTCTCCAATGCCGGCATACGTCGCGTCATGTCGCTGTATGTTATGCGAGCACAAACTCGTCAGTTCTTGGTGTCGCTGAAGGCATTACTCTGCAGCTTAACCCTTTCCGAACAATGTTGCGGTCGCTGTCACTGGCACGAAGTCACTTTCAGAATATCGGCTGCTTCATCTGGAGCATGGATGTCGAGCTCATGGACGTTGCGAATGTGAGAAAATGGCTACTGACTTTCGGACTGGGTCTTTGACGTCACCTCCTCCTTCGAGTGAGGTAGTGAGACACCTTCACGGTCGAATCCAACGTGATGTCCCAACGAGGTGTGTGTGCATCACCGTTGGAGGTGGGATGGTCGTCCGACTCGATCTGTGCAAACTCTTCCCACTCGTGTCGATACGACCATGTTGTAGCAGCTGCTCTACACCTGCTGGCTCTGGGCGGGCTACCTATCGATACTTCTCTGCCTCCCTACATCGGTGACCCGTTTTCTGACCAACTAGGTGCCATCAAGACATTCACATGCGGGCACTTGTCATTCATCAGAGGAGTTGGCTTCCAAGTGCCCCAAGAAGATATCCACATTCCGTCAGGATTCCAACTTTGGCACGGAAAATGCTCTTGGTCCTCCGCGCTGGCTTGACATCAGAGACTTTTTTTGCCAACTCTCTATCTATCTGACCTCGATCGATTGACCGATTGGTTCCTTTTGCCTCGATCGGCACAAGAATGAAGGTGTCACTGCATCCACAACGTCGTTTGTCCGTGACCGTCGCTGGCTTCGGCCGAACCATGCTCGTCAACGTTTACACCATTTAGCGGCCGGCCTCACCTTTTCCTGCGACAATTCCGATCCTTGATGGACAAATTGTCAATTGGTTCATCAACAGATTGTAGGTTGACAACTCCCACCCCGTGGTCTAACGGTCGCACCGTATGTATGTTGTAGCTTGAGTGGTGTGCTATGCATGTGCTTTGATGTGGACATCATCGATTGGTCTGCCATGTCGATTTTGTTGGTCATTCTGGAGCATCAGTAGAGGGTTCGTCTTGCTGATCGAGACGAAACAGTAGCACAAGTTATCGGGTGTTCTCGAGTACCGGAGCGTTTCGAGCTTATGCAGCACTTGACCCTGCAATTTACTGCAAGTATCGAGGCGCTCTGTCTACCGATGTCCGCCACTACCTTGTCAAGGGTAAATAGGTTGAGTGCTTTGAGCATGATCATGTCGTGGACCAGGTCTGAAGATGCGCATGCTTCTCCGTGTTTACTCTTAGCTTGACGACTGACGAGTGTCGATGCATTTCAGATCGCGCATTTGCGCTCATAGCGTGCCATTCGCTGAACTCAGCTGACTCAGCGCCACTCTATCATGCCCGGCTCTGTCACCGTTTACCGGCACCACAAGCGCTCGTTTTGCCATGCAAACTAGCTGGTGCCTCATGTGTAGGCAGGTGTGTTGATTAATCACTAAAAACGGCTTTAGGTATGTCCGTAGAGGCAGCGTGCTGATGCTCACACTACTAGCAAAACGTTGGTCACTGCGACATCCAATTTAAGTGTTGATGTTACATTTTGTCGTTTGCCTGTTGTTTTTCGTCGTCAACTCACCAAGTTGTAAAACTTCCTGTTTTACTGGTGAATTGTTCTGGTACATAATGAAGAAGCAGTCGTGTCACGTCTTACTTTAAGATTGTACCGATTCGTCGGCTACTCAAAGTTGAGAATGCAATTGGTTGATCGTCAATGACTATATTGGATCAGCGCAGCAGTGCCGTCTTGTGTAACGGGGTGAATCGTTACATAACAATTTATGAGAAATTGTTAATAGAATATAACTATAAGAGTTATATTCTCGGAATATTGTCATAAGGACAAATATTCTGTAGCACTTACGAGTTGTTCCTAATTGGTTGATACAGGCCATTATATCAACCAACGAAGACGCGCCACGACAGACGCACGCAATGAGTGGTGAGCAGATAACTGATTTACACATTTGTATTTAGACATAGTTAGATGAAGATAAATAGTGATTTATTGCAGACATTAACTATTATAAATACAGTTCTACTTTTTACTTTAACCAAGTACTCGCTTCTTCTTACCGTCTTCCTCTGCACGTACGAGTGTACGTGAAGTTACGAGGCACCGCCTTATTCTGTCATCAGAATAAGTAGCTTGCACTGTCACCATTACAAGCTTCAGGGTGCCCCGTTACACCTGGTAGCACTTCGTAGTCCGTCCAAGGACCACGTTCACATCCAACATGAATATGTTGGATGATGAAGATGACCAAAGCTTTCACGCTACGCGTGACGGCTACTCCCATTTGAGCGATGTCGAATGGGATGCGGTTGAACGAATGGGTTCGACCATGGGCATCCATGCTGTTAGCGTCATGCTAGAGGCTCTCAATAGAGATGCCCAACATGCTACTATCGCCAAGTTCATTCAAAATGAACTTGACGCTGAACGCGAGAAAGTAGCCTTGCTTCACCAACAAGGTTCTCAACAAGCAGAGTTGTTGAGAGAACAAGGTGCTCAACAGTTTGAACTGTTGAGACAGCAGCAGGCTGCTGCTGGCGGGTCGATGCACTCGCGTCGACCCGAGACTTTGAAGATTGACATCTCAAAGTATAGGGGGTCGAAGAAGGCTCCCTATTGAGATGGTTCGTCGAATTGGATGACGCCATAAGGGCGCGTCGCATCGACGACGGGGATGTGCAAGTTGCATTTGCCCAGTCAAATCTGGCAGGACGTGCCAAGACTTGGGCACTGGGGCTCAAGTTGCACGACCCATGTGCGTTTGGGTCGTTGGAAGTCTTCAAGTCGCGGCTCAGACAAACGTTTGAACCGCCTAGAGCTGAGTTCAGGGCTCGAACCGAACTCTTGAAGCTCAAACAGGGTAAGCGTGATGTGCACGCTTACGCCCAACATATACGACATCTTACGAGTTGTATAAGTTCCAATCCGGTGGATGAACACACGTTGGTTTCGGTGTTCATGCAGGGTCTTGCGGATGGTCCCGTCAAGACTCACCTGTTCCGGCTTGAACTAGATTCACTAAAACAAGCCGTATCCATTGCGGAACAGGAAGACTTCAGTCTGAGACAGGCTCGCGCCAGCTCGACATCATATCGTCAACCGAGACGATATGACAGCGGAGGTCCAGAGCCGATGGAACTCTGTTATGTAGAGAGCGAGAAGGCTCGCTCTACAGACTACAAGAAGTTACAGAAATGCAACAGATGTCAGAAGACAGGACACTACGCTTACGAGTGTAGTGCCCCTCGTCCAGTGTCTCGCAACACTGGGCGTAGTGACCGTCCACCCATGAGAAAGGGGCAGGGACGCGGGTCCGCTGTTGGTGCAAAGACGCAACAAAGGGATGGACCGTAAAAAACGGACAGGATCAGTAGGTGTGGAGCACCCTACTGGTCCAGAAACGTCAAGAGAATTTGTAGGGTTCTCGATGAAGGCTGCTCCCAACACACAAACGTTGTGCGTTGCTGCTCTAGGTAATGAGATCTCACCCATTACCTTGAAACTCGAAGTGACAAATGAGTTGTCGCTTCGAGCTCTAGTCGATTGTGGGGCCTCCAACAATTTTGTGCGACGCCAATCGCTAGAAGATGGTCATTTTAAGTTCAGTGAATGTGACACACCTCCTACGAGGATGTTGGTACGTCTTGCGACAGGCGCATCCGTAACCGTCATGAAGCGTATAGTGAAGATCCACTGTACGCTAGAAGATACCCAATATGATGATGACTTTATCGTATTGGATGTGGATGAAAAATTTGATGTCATCCTTGGAATACCGTGGCTCAGAAGGTACGAAGCACGGGTAAACTGGCAACATCGAACAGTAACGATGCCTGCCGCTTGTTCATCAGATGGCCATCTGATGAACGTTTTGGAGCGTCCACAAGCGTGTGGATGTACTACGAGTGAGTGCGATGGCCTCACGTGTGGTACGGTCGTTAGTACGACTGCACAAAACCTTAGTGTAACAAACGGTTACACTTCGGAGCAAGATTCCGGCGGCTGTGACGAAACACAGGCTGCGCCGAAGGCCATCACTCGAATAAGTCGAGTGGACCGGGACAAAGTTGTATCCCTAGCGGGGAACATCTAGAAGAGAAACAATCGATCGCTCAGGTTAAGCGAAACGATAATCCTAGATCGACTGGAGAGTCTTTCGTAGAGGATCTCGCTATGGTTGCGCAACCCCAGCTAGAGGAAGTAAAGGGAATAAGTCCCAAGATTACAAATACGGCGGAAATAAGTTCCCCGAAACCCGAGGGAATGAGTCCCCGGGAAGCCGAAGGAATAAGTCCTTCGAGGCCTGAGGGAATAAGTCCCCAGGAAATGACAGAGACATTGAATGTCATAGTCAATGACGGATCAAGTGTAGGCGCTTATACACTTGATCTGATTGCGCCTCCGAAGTTGACTTCGGAGATCACTCAGTTGCCAACGCTCGAATATAAAAGGTTCTTGCGTGATCTGCGTAGTGGCAAAGTCAAGCAGATCTGCGTACTCGTCGCTGACGACGAGTGTGTATCCGACATAAGGTCAGCGACAGTATTTACTGAGAACGAGAGAGTTCTCAGTAGTTCACCTATGTAACGGGGTGAATTGTTACATAACAATTGATAAGAAATTGTTAATAGAATATAACTATAAGAGTTATATTCTCAGAATATTGTCATAAGGACAAATATTCTGTAGCACTTACGAGTAAATCCTAATTGGCTGATATAGGCCATTATATCAACCAACGAAGACGCGCCACGACAGACGCACGCAATGAGTGGTGAGCAGATAACTGATTTACACATTTGTATTTAGACATAGTTAGATGAAGATAAATAGTGATTTATTGCAGACATTAACTATGATAAGTACAGTTCTACTTTTTACTTTAACCAAGTACTCGCTTCTTCTTACCGTCTTCCTCTGCACGTACGAGTGTACGTGAAGTTACGAGGCACCGCCTTATTCTGTCATCAGAATAAGTAGCTTGCACTGTCACCATTACAAGCTTCAGGGTGCCCCGTTACACCTGGTAGCACTTCGTAGTCCGTCCAAGGACCACGTTCACATCCAACATGAATATGTTGGATGATGAAGATGACCAAAGCTTTCACGCTACGCGTGACGGCTACTCCCATTTGAGCGATGTCGAATGGGATGCGGTTGAACGAATGGGTTCGACCATGGGCATCCATGCTGTTAGCGTCATGCTAGAGGCTCTCAATAGAGATGCCCAACATGCTACTATCGCCAAGTTCATTCAAAATGAACTTGACGCTGAACGCGAGAAAGTAGCCTTGCTTCACCAACAAGGCTCTCAACAAGCAGAGTTGTTGAGAGAACAAGGTGCTCAACAGTTTGAACTGTTGAGACAGCAGCAGGCTGCTGCTGGCGGGTCGATGCACTCGCGTCGACCCGAGACTTTGAAGATTGACATCTCAAAGTATAGGGGGTCGAAGAAGGCTCCCTATTGAGATGGTTTGTCGAATTGGATGACGCCATAAGGGCGCGTCGCATCGACGACGGGGATGTGCAAGTTGCATTTGCCCAGTCAAATCTGGCAGGACGTGCCAAGACTTGGGCACTGGGGCTCAAGTTGCACGACCCATGTGCGTTTGGGTCGTTGGAAGTCTTCAAGTCGCGGCTCAGACAAACGTTTGAACCGCCTAGAGCTGAGTTCAGGGCTCGAACCGAACTCTTGAAGCTCAAACAGGGTAAGCGTGATGTGCACGCTTACGCCCAACATATACGACATCTTACGAGTTGTATAAGTTCCAATCCGGTGGATGAACACACGTTGGTTTCGGTGTTCATGCAGGGTCTTGCGGATGGTCCCGTCAAGACTCACCTGTTCCGGCTTGAACTAGATTCACTAAAACAAGCCGTATCCATTGCGGAACAGGAAGACTTCAGTCTGAGACAGGCTCGCGCCAGCTCGACATCATATCGTCAACCGAGACGATATGACAGCGGAGGTCCAGAGCCGATGGAACTCTGTTATGTAGAGAGCGAGAAGGCTCGCTCTACAGACTACAAGAAGTTGCAGAAATGCAACAGATGTCAGAAGACAGGACACTACGCTTACGAGTGTAGTGCCCCTCGTCCAGTGTCTCGCAACACTGGGCGTAGTGACCGTCCACCCATGAGAAAGGGGCAGGGACGCGGGTCCGCTGTTGGTGCAAAGACGCAACAAAGGGATGGACCGTAAAAAACGGACAGGATCAGTAGGTGTGGAGCACCCTACTGGTCCAGAAACGTCAAGAGAATTTGTAGGGTTCTCGATGAAGGCTGCTCCCAACACACAAACGTTGTGCGTTGCTGCTCTAGGTAATGAGATCTCACCCATTACCTTGAAACTCGAAGTGACAAATGAGTTGTCGCTTCGAGCTCTAGTCGATTGTGGGGCCTCCAACAATTTTGTGCGACGCCAATCGCTAGAAGATGGTCATTTTTAAGTTCAGTGAATGTGACACACCTCCTACGAGGATGTTGGTACGTCTTGCGACAGGCGCATCCGTAACCGTCATGAAGCGTATAGTGAAGATCCACTGTACGCTAGAAGATACCCAATATGATGATGACTTTATCGTATTGGATGTGGATGAAAAATTTGATGTCATCCTTGGAATACCGTGGCTCAGAAGGTACGAAGCACGGGTAAACTGGCAACATCGAACAGTAACGATGCCTGCCGCTTGTTCATCAGATGGCCATCTGATGAACGTTTTGGAGCGTCCACAAGCGTGTGGATGTACTACGAGTGAGTGCGATGGCCTCACGTGTGGTACGGTCGTTAGTACGACTGCACAAAACCTTAGTGTAACAAACGGTTACACTTCGGAGCAAGATTCCGGCGGCTGTGACGAAACACAGGCTGCGCCGAAGGCCATCACTCGAATAAGTCGAGTGGACCGGGACAAAGTTGTATCCCTAGCGGGGAACATCTAGAAGAGAAACAATCGATCGCTCAGGTTAAGCGAAACGATAATCCTAGATCGACTGGAGAGTCTTTCGTAGAGGATCTCGCTATGGTTGCGCAACCCCAGCTAGAGGAAGTAAAGGGAATAAGTCCCAAGATTACAAATACGGCGGAAATAAGTTCCCCGAAACCCGAGGGAATAAGTCCCCGGGAAGCCGAAGGAATAAGTCCTTCGAGGCCTGAGGGAATAAGTCCCCAGGAAATGACAGAGACATTGAATGTCATAGTCAATGACGGATCAATTGTAGGCGCTTATACACTTGATCTGATTGCGCCTCCGAAGTTGACTTCGGAGATCACTCAGTTGCCAACGCTCGAATATAAAAGGTTCTTGCGTGATCTGCGTAGTGGCAAAGTCAAGCAGATCTGCGTACTCGTCGCTGACGACGAGTGTGTATCCGACATAAGGTCAGCAACAGTATTTACTGAGAACGAGAGAGTTCTCAGTAGTTCATCTATGTAACGGGGTGAATTGTTACATAACAATTTATAAGAAATTGTTAATAGAATATAACTATAAGAGTTATATTCTCGGAATATTGTCATAAGGACAAATATTCTGTAGCACTTACGAGTAAATCCTAATTGGTTGATATAGGCCATTATATCAACCAACGAAGACGCGCCACGACAGACGCACGCAATGA